TAAGTATGTACAGTGCCACTCTTTTAGAAGTGGAAGTTGCTGTAAAAGCGAACAATGGTAGGTTGATGGGATGCCAGAGAAGTTAGCAAATAGTCTGTTAACAAAGAATCTATTACACTGAATATTGTTGCCAGGAAGGGGAGAGGAGGGGGAATGGGCATTTATTGAAAGCTTTTGTCCTGGAGCACCAGCTATGTGCTGCCACACAGAAGCAGAAGGGAGACTGGAGGCAAAAATAATTTCTAAATTACCTACTGCTCTTAGTGAAAAATTAAATTTGTGGGGGATGTTAAAAAATGGAGCTAGTTCAGAGTCCTCCAGGTGATCTGGCTCTTGGCTTGTTTACTTTAGACTCGTGCCAAAGGGAAGGACACCCCTTAGTAGAATGTGCCATCCAACCAAGCTTGGGCTGGAGGGGCCAGGACACAGGGGAGACAAGGTCCAGGGTTACCTGCTTAATTCTATGTGGGTCATAACCACAGAGACTCGACACTGAGTTTGAATTGTTATAGTTGTTCAGCTGCTAAGTCATGTCCCACTGTTTGCAACCCCATGGGCTGCTGCACACCAGACTCCTCTGTCCTTCACTATCTCCTGGAGTTTGCTGAGATTTGTGTCCAGTGAGTCAGTGATGCTACTTAACTGTCTCATCCTCTGTCGCCCCCTTCTCCTGCCCTCAATCTTTTCCAGCATCAGGGTCTTTTCCAATGAGTCAGTTCTTCGCATCAGGTGGCCAAAGTATTGGAGCTTCAACTTCAGCATCAGTCCTTCTAATGAGTATTCAGGACTGATTTTGTTTAGTATGGACTTGTTTGATCTCTCTGCAGTCCAAGGGACTCTCAAGAGTCTTCTCCAACACCACAGTTCAAAAGCATCAATTCTTTGGCGCTCAGCCTTCTTTATGGTCCAACTCTCACATGCGTACATGACTACTGGAAAAATCATAGCTTTGACTATATGGACCTTTGTCTACAAAGTGACGTCTCTGCTTTTGAATCGTAGGTCTTAAAAAACAGACTCAATTGTCTGTACTGGGGCCCCTGCTTGGTCATGTACTATTTATTTTCCATTAAGTTCCATGAGCCTATTTTCTGATGAGAAAACCTCATCAGAATACCTCTAGACAGAGCTTTGGTGAAGATCGGTGATGCAGAATATGAAACCACTTTGCAAATATACAAGGTGCCCTCCTGCTCCAGGCCCTCCCCTACCCCTGAACCACGCCTCGCGCCCATCCCCCAGCCTGAGGGGGCTCAGAGTGTCAGGGCTAACCATTCCACCCTTTCCTCTCTCCACTCTCACTTCACAGAGGGACGAAAAGGGAAAATGAAACCAAATTTAAGCAATTTATCAGTAATATGCTGCCATATTGAAACATTAATATTAATAAACTAGTGAAACTTTGTCATCTGTGTTGTAATAGAGTCAGACTGCCACACTTTTGAGCCTTGAACATGTTTCTTACCCTCTCTGGACCACAGTTTCCTCATCTGTGAAATGGGGAAATAATTGGGCCTATCTCAAAGGATGCTTGTGAAAATTAAATAACTAAAGAGATGGGAATACCAGACCACCTGACCTGCCTCTTGAGAAACCTGTATGCAGGTCAGGAAGCAACAGAACTGGACGTGGAACAACAGACTGGTTCCAAATCGGGAAAGGAGTACGTCAAGGCTGTTTATTATCACCCTGCTTATTTAACTTATATATGGAGTACATCATGAGAAATACTGGGCTGGATGAAACACAAGTTGGAATCAAGATTTCCAGGACAAATATCAATAACCTCATATATGCAGATGACACCACCCATATGGTAGAAAGCAAAGAACTAAAGAGCCTCCTGATGAAAGTGAAAGAGGAGAGTGAAAAAGTTGGCTTAAACTTAACATTCAGAAAACTAAGATCATGGCATCTAGTCCCATCACTTCATGGCAAATAGATGGGGAAACAATGGAAACAGTGAGAGACTTTATTTTGGGGGGCTCCAAAATCACTGCAGTTGTGACTGCAGCCATGAAATTAAAAGATGCTTGCTCCTTGGAAGAAAAGTTATGACCAACCTAGACAGCATATTAAAAAGCAGAGACATTACTTTGTCAACAAAAGTCCATCTAGTCAAGGCTATGGTTTTTCCAGTGATCATGTATGGATGTGAGAGTTGGACTATAAAGAAAGCTGAGCACTGAAGAATTGATGCTTTTTAACTTTGGTGTTGAAGAAGACTCTTGAGAGTCCCTTGGACTGCAAGGAGATCCAACCAGTCCATCGTAAAGGAAATCAGTCCTGAATATTCATTGGAAGGACTGATGCTGAAGCTGAAGTTCCAATACTTTGGCCACCTGATGCGAAGAACTGACTCATTGGAAAAGACCCTGATACTGGGAATTATTGAAAGTGGGAGGAGAAGGGGACGACAGAGGATGAGATGGTTGGATGGCATCACCGACTCAATGGACATGAGTTTGAGTCGACTCCAGGAGTTGGTGATGGACAGGGAGGCCTGGCATGCTGCAGTCCATGGGGTCGCAAAGAGTCAGAATTGATTGAGTGAACTGAACTGAATGCATGAAAAACACTTACTCAGAAGTACATCACTGGTAGCTGTTAGTTTTATTATCTCAGAACTTTTACTTCAGATTTCATATGAGAAACTGTAGTCTTACACTTTCCCTCTACTTGTGACCAAGTGTTTATTCCTTTGAGCTATATATTGAGTGCATTGCCTTTGACCTTTGGTAATAACATGCGCAGTACAAATTAGGAGCGCAGGTAAATGTTTTGAGCTAAAGAAACATATTCAGAAAATGTTATAGTTTGACTGGCAGGATGCTACAAGGATTTAGCAGTAAGTGCACTCTTTACTTAGTGAATAAGTCCATACGTGCGTCAAAAGAACAGAATGAAAACAGTACACGAGAAAATGAAAACCCTTTCGATGTTTGTTTCTAATAATTAGGTCTAAGAGAAACAGAAGGATCCTGACATACATGCATTCACTCGTCCTTTTTGATTCCGTCTGTGAATTTTGGAAGTTCCAAAGCTACAGTCACATTTAGAAAGAATGACATGTTCTCTTCGGAAAACAAACATGCTAGCACAGCAAGAAAGAGCCACTCAGCTGGGTGTCCAGAGCTTACACAAGATGTGGGTAATGTTCAGACAAGAGATTAGGTGCCCAGCCACATAGGACAAGAATGTGCCTACAGCTCATGTTTCCATGTAATAGATAAATGACATCTCATTCAGAAAATCTAAAGAATTCAGGCTGCCACCTCGTGGCCAGAAGGAACTTAGCAAGATGAACACACAGGCTTGAAGCATCTATTTTGCTGCTGGTTCCCCCATGCCCTTGTGCTCTTGTTGATGACTTGGGCATCTCACAAGCCAATCTCAGTTGGGATCTCCTCTTCCCGGGATGGTCCAATTTCTAAAATAAGAGGTCAGAAGGATAGTAGAGCTTTCTCAGCTGCAAGATTCAGTATAGGAACAGAAGACCTCAGGGAAATAGGACCCGTGAACCTCATGGCAGTTTCATGACTTCCTTTATTCATTCATTCATCGACCCATTCATTCCTTGAACACATATTTGCTGAGCATGTGAATGTGTGAGGGCTACCATGATGACCAAGGCAAAACCCCATCTTCCTTGAATTGACAGCAGGGTGGAATAAAGAGATCGTCCCCGGGGGCTACACAGAGCAACAGATGCCCCCACCCCAGACTTAGAGATGAAACAGGAAGAAAACAAAATAAGAGGGAAGAGGTGGAAGGAAAGGGTTTCTGGCTGTTTTGTTTTTTTTCCTCTGACCCAGAGTATCAGAAGTGGGGGTGTGGGGGGTGGGGGGACGGGGAGAGACCCTTCAAGACCTTCCTTCCCTGAAGCTGGTGGGGGGACCGCACTGTGCTGGCCGGCACCTGATGGTCACACCCTGGGTGGGGAAGCTTCCAGGCTGTGGTTGTCAGAAAACCTGGGAGCATTCACTCTTCCCTCCTTTGCTGTTCCTGTTTCTCCTTTTCTCGTTCCCTCTGGTCGCCTTGTTTGTTTTTTCTCCTTCTACTCCATCTTCTCTCTTGGCTTCTTCCTCTCGCCTTTGTTCCTTTTCTCTCTTACTTTATTCTTTCTACTTTTCACTTTTCTTCTCTGTTTCTCTTCTTTTCATTAAAAAAAAAATCTCCCTTTCTCCATTACCTTACTTTTCCCCTTGGTTCCCCTGCCCCACCCATCTTTTTATTAATCCCCCTGCTTCCTGCCCCCTCGCCTCCCCTCACCCCCCACCCCGGATTTCCTTGCACATGGTGAGCTCACTGCAGACGGGCGTGCCCCTCCCTGCCCAACTGTGCTGCCTGAGGCTTTATGGAATTTGGTTGTGGGGTCTCTGGCCTCACCTCCTTCACTCCTTGGTAGTGTGCCATCGATTTAGGGGTGGAGGGATTTATTTATTTATTTAACACCCAAATCATTTTGTATTGGGGCTTCCCTGGTGGCTCAGAGGTTAAAGCGTCTACCTGCAATGCGGGAGACCAGGGTTTGATCCCTGGGTCTGGAAGATTCCCCTGGAGAAGGAAATGGCAACCCACTCCATTTTCTTGCCTGGGAAATCCCACGGACAGAGGAGCCTGGTGGCCTACAGTCCACGGGGTCGCAAAGAGTTGGACACAACTGAGCGACTTCATTTCATCACCTATAAACAATGCTGTTATAGTTTCAGGTGGACAATAAAGGGACTCAGCCATACATATACATGAATCCATTCCCCCCCAGGCTCCCCCTCCCATCCAGGTTGGCACATAACATTGAGCAGAGTTCCCTGTGATCTGTGCTCTGTGGTAGGTCCTTGTTGGCTATCCATTTTCAGTATAGCCATGTGTCCATGACCTTCCGTAAGTCCTTAACTATCTAGGACGGGAGGGCTTTGGATGGGTTTGAAACCAAGTTTGGGAACAGTTGCTCTGGGGGCTTCAAGCTGCATGCGTTCAAGGTCATTCTCCTTTCCCAGTCCCAGCCTTTATAACTACCTCCGCGTTCAACAAGGAGCGAACAAGACAGGTGGCCTCCCCACACTGGACCACGGACACAGAAGATGCTGGGTAATTTGGTATTATTTGTTTTTCACTTGTGTTTTTTCCAGTCGGATGGTCAAGTCAGCTCATGAAAGTAACTTGTTGGGGTGGAATTTCTTCTGTTATTGTTCATGTACTTTGAACAAATAAAATGTGACTCTTTATCCGAGAGCTGGGAAATACTTGTCCCTTCCTTGTTTTTTTTTTTTTTTGCAGAAGGGGCTAGAAATATTTTGTCTCTGATCCTTAAGAAGAAACATGCTATGTAGGAATGAGATGGTATTATTTTGTCATTCACACTAAGGATGCTCAGCTTATAGTCTTTATGGAACCGTGGACTCCAGCACCACCTCTGTCTGTGAATTTGAACATGGCCCCCATCTGAGGTCTGAGCATTTCTATCAAGACCTAAGGCTCAGAAGGAACCTCCATGCTCATTAAAAGCCCACTCTTCTGCTGTTAGAATAGGGACACCAGATGGCTGCATGTTCAAATCCCCATACTGTGCCTCAATTTTTCCTTCTTATAAATGAGAATATTAATTCCTACCACGTGGTGTTGCTTTGAGCATTTAATGAGCAAATATCCTTGAAAAGATGTCAGGGTTAAGCTGTCTAAAGCTGACTGAAGCTGCATCATAGATTTTCTACCTTAGTACCTTAAGGTACCAAATAAACTTTACCTACCATCATTAAAGATCTTCTTTAAAATAGTCTCTCCAAACACTTTCCATCTAACTTATTATAATTCATAATTATATGGATTAAAAAACAAGAGCCCATTTTAGCATAGTTAGAACCTAAAATGCCATGTTGTTTTGTTTCCCTGAAGAGTTGTAAAATTGTGTTGCTTTTAAGTACAAAACTCTGAAATATTCATCCATGTCTGAATGCACCCCTGGGGCCTTCAGGGTCTAGTCACATAATATAATGTTAGAGTTTTCCACAGCTCAGTGTAAGGTGACTCTAGTCTGTTACAGAAAAGCATGTCTCAGCTTCCCGTGCCCTTTCATCTGTGATGTCCAGTATAACTTTGATGCTTGACTTCAAGTCAAAGCTCATCTCATTACCCCAGATTATGTAGGTGAGCCGGGAGAGCGGGTATAGGGAAGGTCCCGGGAATGTTGGTGAGGCAGAAAAACACAGGTGATGGCCTGGACATCCAGGACCAGCCTTCCTGGGGCTCACATGTTCTCAGACTCAAGCAAGTTTCTTGTTCAATTTCTATAATTCATTAAAATCTCCACAAAGTTATCAAGGGCAATTTTCCTACTGAAATGTGTTTTGAGACATAATTTCATGGTCAAACTAGACAGGACATGAGATGAAATGTGTGCAGTATGGTGTTGACCAGGTAATTCAACCATGGATTGAAAAACAGCAAAAAGGTTCAGTTGTCAGATGTCAAGAGTTCAGCGTGTGAGAAACTTGACCAGGCCTTCTGTGACCTGTGACAAGGCAGCACCCTACCTTCTCCAGGCTCTCAGGTGTCCTCAGGGGGTTCCAGCCTTCCTAAGACTTTATACAGCATCAGGGCACTTCTTGTTGTTGTTCTTATTGACCAAGAAGTTTGTTTGGATTTTTCCATAAAGTGGGATGGGAAAATGTGAATGAACTTTTTGGCCAATCCAATAATTATAGCAAGTGAAATTGCTCCTTTTTTTTCTTTTTTCTTTTTGCTCTAGATACTGTATGGAGTTCAAGACAGAGTCATTGACTCATCACTGTGCCATGGAAAATCGCCCCTTGACCCGATGGATGCAATATCTCCGAGAGGGCTACACAGTGTGTGTGGACTGTCAACCTCCAGCTATGAACTCTGTGAGCCTTCGTTGTTCTGGTGATGGCTTGGACTCTGACGGGTAAGGGAGAGAAACTGGTTGGAGGATTTTTCTTGGCCCTCATTTGGGGAGATATGGCGTCTTCACGTCATGCACAGCAGACCAGTATGCGATCTGGGGAGTCACAAGAGTGGGGAGAAACTTCCATCTGGCCGTTCCAGAGTGCAGGATCCTGTTCACACTCTAGGACTTAGAGGCTCTGTACCAGAGAGATGTGGGTGAGTTTGGATATTGGGGTTCAGACCAAGGTCTCAAGGGACCGTCAGAGACCTGCCCCCAAAGCAGCCACAGACACTATGCAAACAGATGAGCTTGTCTTTGTTCTGGTAATACTGTATTAATGGACACTAAAATTTCAATTTTATAGAATTTTTATGTATCATGAAATAATATATGAATTGTTTTCAACTCTTTAAAAACATAAAAATAATTATTTTTATTACTATTTTTTAAAAGTAGAGCTAGAGTTGATTTACAGTATTATATTAGGTTCAGGTGTACAACATAGCAATTCAAAAATGTTATAGCTTGTACTCCATTTATGGTTATTATAAAATATTGGCTATATTCTCTGTGCTGTATTCTTATGGCTTATTTATTGTGTACATAGTAGTTTGTGCCTCTTAATCTCCCACCCCTAGCTGTCCCTTGCTTACCCCTGTCCCCACTGGTAACCACTAGTTTGTTCTTTATATCTGTGAGTCTGTTTCTTTGTTATTTTCACTAGTTTGTTTTAATTTGCAGAATCCACATACAAATGATAACACACAGTATTTGTCTTTCTCTATCTGACTTACTTCACCAAGCATAATACCCTGCAGGTCCACCCATGTTGTTGCAACTGGCAGGATTTCATTTCTTTTATGTCTCAGTTGTAGTATGTATACCACATATTCTTTATTCATTCAACCATTGGTAAACACTTTTATGCTTTCATGTCTTGGCTATTATAAGTAATGCTGCTATGAACATTGGGGTGCATGTATGTGTTTGAATTACTGTTTTCATTTTCTTTGGGTATATATATATATATATATATATATATATATATATATATACAGGAGTAGAATTTCTGGATCATATGTAATAATCATTCTTAACCTGTAGACCACACAAGGGGTGGGTGGGCTGGATTTGGCCCATGGGTCACAGTTTGCTGAACCCTGTCCAGATGAGTCATACCCACAGCAAAATTTCAGAACCAGTGCTCAGTGTGACTAAGATAGTATTGGTGGGCCTCGTTTTGTAGGATCATAAACTCTTTTGATGTTCTAAGCACTCAATTTTAATATGGGGGGGGTGGGATTTCCTCACACAACATGAAGCAATTCATGGGACACCAGGTTGGCATCCAGTGATTTAACTTAATTCTGACACTATCAGTCCTACAAGACTGCTCCCTCCTGCCACCGCCTTCAAATACCAGTTTCCAACTCAGTCTGTGTTACCTGTGTAACACAGGTACCTGTGTTACATCAGAGATTCCATGATCCCTTTCTCAGGTCTGATTAATTTGCTAGAGTGGCTCACAGAACTCAGAGACACACTGATGGACTAGATGACCGTGCCTGTGTGTGTGCTAAGTCACTTCAGTTGTGTCTGACTCTTTGAAACCCTATGGACTGTAACTCACCAGGTTCTTCTGTCCATGGGATTCTCCAGGCAAGAATACTGCTGAAGTGGGTTGCCATGCCCTCCTCCGGGGGCGGGGTGGTCTTCCCAACCCAGGGATTGAACCCGTGTCTCTTATGTCTCCTGCATTGGCATGCAGGTTCTTTACCACCAGTGCCACCTGGGAAACCTGACGAGATGACCAGTTTATTGTAAAAAGCTATAATTCAGTAACAGCCCGATGGGAGACAGGGAAGAAGTGTGGGAAGGGGTGTCATTCTCCCCACCTCTCCGTGTGTTCACTCATCTAGACACCCTCTGAACTCTGTCCTTTTGGCTTTCCTGGATGTCTCACGATGGAGGTGTCATTGATTAAGTCATTGGCTATTGACTGATTCAACTTCCAGCCCCTCTCCCCTCCCTGGACATTAGGGTTGGGGGTGTGGAGCCATGAATTCCAACCTGCTAACCACCTGGTTAATTCTCCTGGCAACCAACTCTCAACTTCAGGTGCTTCCAAAAATCTGCCCATTCACATAAAAAGACACCTTTATCACTCTCAACATTTAAGAAATTCCAATGGCTTTGGGGACTGTCAGTTAGAAACTGGACAAAAACCAAATACACATGAGAAATATAGTTTAGTCACCTGAATGGCCAAATATGTTTCTTGTAATCATAATATTGCATAAATCTACAGAAATCTAAATTGTCCAAAAGAACTGACCCTTGAAAACATTTTACCTTTCTAAAAGCCCATTCCGGTCCTATACTTCTCTACAGTTAAATCCAATAACATTATTCATAAGTAAGAGACGGGTAGAATTTGTGATGGTTTCGTTTATGGCTTTTAAAAATGTAAGATGGAATTGGTAAAAATATAAATTAGAAAGAAAAATGTGGACCTTTCTAGTTAATCATTATTCCCAGAGCATATTTTAATACTTAATAACTTGACTTTATGTTTACTAGTCTCTTGTGTCCAACAGCCTCTATATCGAGTATGCACACGAAGAGTAAACTGGGTAAAGAATTCACATGAAACAGAAACTTAATATGTAGACTTAATATTTTCCTGAATACCTCATCCATATTTTGACTTTAAAATGAATATTATAATTTAATATGTACCCATAAAACACCTTCAACCAAGGCTGAAGTTCCAGTGACTTAAAAAATAATAATTTCAATAATAGGGCTATTTTCTTTTCACTGCTCACATTTTTAATTATGGAATCAAAGAGTTGGAAAGGATTACAAGGAATCATTTGGTTCGGTCCCCTCTAATTTAGATGTACACAAAACAGTACCCAGCAATCCCACTCCTGGGCATATACCCAGAGAAAACCATAGCTCAGAAAAACATGCACTCCAACATTCATTGCAGCACTATTTAAATAGTCAGGACATGGAAACAACCTAAATGACAATCAACAGAGGAATGGATAAAGATGTGTTACATGTATACAGTGGAATATTATTCAGCCATAAAAAGGAATGAAATTTGGTCATTTGTAGAGATGTGGGTGGACCTAGGGACTGACTGTCATACAGAGTGAAGTAAGTCAGAAAGAGAAAAACAAATATCATATATTCATGCATACCTGTCGGCTCTAGAAAAATGGCATAAATGACCTTATTTGTAAAACAGAAATAGAGACACAGACATAGGAACAAACAGCTGGACGCCAGTGTGGGAACCGTGGGCGATGGGATGAATTGGGGAGATTGGGATTGACATATATGCGCTATCGATACTATGTGTAAAATGGGTAACTAATGAGAACCTATTGTAGAGCTCATTGACACCTACTCAGTTCTCAGTGTGACCTAAATCGGAAGGAAATCCAAAAAAGAGCTGATATATGCACGCATGTAGCTGATTCACTTTACTGTACAGTAGAAACTAACACAACACCGTAAGGCAACTAGACTCCAATAAAAATACAATAAAAACATGTACACAAAACAGAAAGTCATTTTCCTTTATGCAACACTTCGTATACTCAGAGCAACTGAGAGACATGAATGCAGTGACCTCAAACTACAGTTCTCAATGTGCAGGGTGAGGGGAGGTCCTCAAATAAGGATTAATTGGTAACTTGTTTTGACAGAACCCAAAGAAAAGAAACAGTTGTGAGTTGTGATCATGTTTGTTTTTTAATTTCAGTTTGTAATGCACTTGAAAACTTCAAGTGTTAACCTTTTAAAAAGAACAAAAACGAAAACCTTAATTTATAATTCTGTAAATTAGAATCATCTTTGGTTTGCTTTAGTGTAACTCACATTTTCAAAATATCATTTCAGAAATGAGACCCTCCATTGGCAAGCAATTGGCAACCCTCGATGTCAAGGAACTTGGAAGAAAGTTCGGCGGGTAGAACAGTGTTCTTGTCCAGCTGTTCACAGTTTCATTTTCATATAGATCATGATATAAATGTTTCAAAATGTGTTTGTAAACATGCTGAATACTAGCAAGTCATGTTCGACGCTGCATAATCCTTTGAAAACTCTTCAGCCTAAAGGTCCTAAATATATGTCATTACCACATTCTGAAGCAGAGAAAAGAAACTCAGGGACCAGTTACTAAGAAACACAGCGCCTTCATTTCTATTTTCTACTATTTTGAGGACCCATCCTAAAGTCTCCTGTGGTTTTCTGACCTTGGCCTGTCACTTGGAGCCTCCTCATTGAACAGGTAGCCCTCTGGACACACAGTAAGTCTGTTTGCACTAAAATGACTACATTTTGTTGGTCCACTTACCGATAAGGTGTCATTTAAGGGTACTCATGCTTTGAGTCTTGGGTTCTTTCTTTCTATTCTGTAATCTCTTAAAAACTTCTTTCCTTAAAAAATGTCTACAGACATATGTACACTCATGCATGCATTTCCCATATATTATTCCACAAATTCTGCAATAATAATTTCAAGCAAATTTGTCACAAATAATTTTCCACAGGACAAGTTGTTTGAGATTTAGTAAGCAAAACTAACAGCTCTACTAAATATACTTTTTTTTTTTTAAAAAAATAGAAGAATTCTTCTGTTAACTGAAAAGCATCAATCACATGTTCATTCTAGGTCAGTACAATTCCTTTAAATGTTTTAATTTCCATGAAGTGAAATTTTGGCAACGATAAGTGAAACAATTGCTTTAATTATGAACATTCTACCATCATTAGCATCAAAAATTATTTCCAAGGCGTAAAGCCTGAAGTTGGCTACAATAATTTTGGAGTCCAACTTCAAGTTTAATTGAGGTAACTTCCTACTTTTCTTCCCCCCATAACACAGGTTTTCTTTTGTTTGGAGTAGAAGGTAGAGGCATAGATTATAGAAGGCATAGATTTATTACAAATGCTATGATACCCATCCCCACCCCACCTCTACAAACACAGAAGTATTAGTTTCCTTATTGTATGATTGGAAAATCAATGAATCAGAGACAAAAGGCCTTGTTGAAGAATCTGGACTGACAGAGCCAAATCCTAGCTTCTCATTCAGAATTCAGCTTTGATGAAGAGCCTAATGTTGCCAAAGACTGTTCTGTAAAAACAAAGCCCTTTTTATTTCTGAAGCAAATTTTAAATTCAGAATATTTTCTTCAGAGAACTGAATCTGATGAGTTAAACTACAGGTAAACCTTGGAGATATTTGAATTTGGTTCCAGACCACCACAATGAAGCGAGTCATAAGATAGTTTTGGTTTCCCAGTGCATATAAAAGTTACGTTTACACCATATGTTTGCAGTCTATTGTGTGCAATAGCATTATGTCTAAAAAAATGTACATACCTTAATTGAAAATTACTTTATTGCCCAAAACTACTAACCATCATCTGAACCTTTCGTGAGTAGTAACATCACAGATCACCTGAGCAAGTATAATAATAATGATGAAAAAGTTTGAAATATGCTGAGAATTACCAAAATGTAACACAGACACACAAAGTGAGCAAATGATATTGAAAAATGGCACCAATAGATTTACTCAATCTATTGCCACAAACCTTCAATTTGTAAAAAAAAAAAAAAAAAAAGTAATATCTGCAAAGCACAATAAAATGAGGTGTGCCTACCTGTATATGAAATTTCTTTGATTTCATATGTATAAAATATTATTTACTAACAAATGATATACTAAAATACCTATTTCTTGGCACTTATCATGTAATGATATAATGACAATAGTGAGTTTAATAGGGATGGAAAAGTCCTCAATATTTAGTGCTGAGAGTAGCAATATTTCTGAGAATGTATTTGTTTAAATGTGAGGACTGTTTTGTGGTAAACTAATTTCTTCATAAATTAACAATAAAAATTTGAGTCTCATAAGAATTAGAAACTTCAACTATCAGCTCAGTATTAACATTTCAAGACCATTTCTAACATTTGTAAAGCAAAAGTTTTGAAAGCATACCTGGGTAATTTTCAATGTTACTTAAAATTTTATACCAGTAAATAAACTTTCTGTTCATATTTTGAAAAACTCTTTACTTGTTTGGCTAGAAAATACCCAAGTTTTCTGGACAAGTCAGAGAATAAACAAAAAATTTCACAAAAGCCAAAAGAAAACATTTTAGAATTGATAGGCATATGTATGATGACTAACAGCAATAAAGCTATTTATGGTTCCAATATGTTATAACATTCAGCATAGTTTGAGTTGTATAAAATCAATTTTTCAAATTACATATTTAGCTTTCACTACAGGACCATTAATTACTTTCATATTGAAGCATATTTTTGTTATTTCTATTCTTATGAAGAATTTCAAGGGCTGGAAGACATAACTACTAAATAATGATCTTGAAAGGCTTGTTATTACTTCTAGTGAAGCCCAAGGAAACAGTACAAAACTGAAACAAGTGGTCTAAATGATGAATGAAGAACCCCAAATTTTCTATTTTCAGAGATAAAGATCAAGGATTTAAGACTTCTTTGGTATTCCTTTTTAATGAGTATGTTAGAGTTGGGGTCCCTTCCAATGACACCCTACAATGATTTACAGGCTCTAGCACTACTTAATAGGCTGCTTTTCAGAAGTGCATGAGAAAAGTAATTTGAACAAAAGTAAATATACCCACTCAGGAAAGAAGGGGAAAGGAATTAAAGATGGTGATCATTTAGTAGAGAAAAGCTGAGTGAGGGGAAATGAGAAAAGAAAAGAGTAGAAAAAGGATCAAGGTAAACTACAATCTTTTTAGGGTCTTTCTTGGAATTAAAAAAAATTATTTATTTTTGTCTGTGCTGGGTTTTTGGTTCTGTGCCAGCTTTCTCTTTTTGCAATGTGCAGGTTTCTAATTGCAGTGGCTTCTCTTGTTGTGGAGCACAGGCTCTAGAGTGTGCGGGCTTCAGCAGTAGTTGTGTGCGGACTCAGTAGTTGTGGAGCATGGACTTAGTTGCCTTGCAGCATGTGGGATCTTAGTTCTTGGACCAGGAATCGGACTCATGTCCCCTGAATTGGCAGGCCTATTCTTAACCACTGGACCACCAGGGAGTTCCCTTTCTTGGGATGTTTTTATCCGAGAATGTTGAAATTATGCATAAATAGCAATAGCAGTAACTTACATTGTTTAGTTCTACTCTGGCATAAAAATTGTAATTACCATTTCTTTTAGGAATGTACCAAAATGATGTAAAATAGTTCTTCCCTCTAAGACTATTTTGGTGAAGGTTTATACAAATAAGTGTAAGATGGTTTAGAAAAGCTGAATATTCTGATGAATATATTGAAAGAGAAGTGAAACTTCTAGGTCAAGATGACAGATGGATAAACATGTTTATCTTCTTCCTCAACTCCCATTGAGATTATAGGAGTCATGGAAGAGTCTGTAACACAGATGAGAAAGCAGGGATGGAATCAGCTCATAGCTTTTGAAGAAACTTTTTGAAGATTGAAAGCACATAGGATTTTATGGATGGATAAACCAGAATAGGGGGACCATACCCTTTCAAACATGTAGAAAAGAAGATGGAAGCAGAGCCATTCTTCTTGGGGTGTGGCAGTCCCACCGAGCACAAACAAAATGGATTTTAAAACTCTCCACCCCTAGAGACAAACTTGTGAAATTTAAAATCAAGGATAAAGAAAAGACTATATTCATTGTGTATATGTACCACAGCTTTCTTATCCATTCATCTGCTGATGGACATCTAGGTTGCTTCCATGTCCTGGCTATTATAAACAGTGCTGCCATGAACATTGGGGTACACGTATCTCTTTCAATTCTGGTTTCCTCAATGTGTATGCCCAGTAATGGGATTGCTGGGTCATATGGCAGTTCTATTTCCAGTCTTTTTATATACATATGGAATATTACTCAGCCATTAAAAAGAATACATTTGAATCAGTTCTAATGAGGTGGATGAAACTGGAGCCTATTATACAGAGTGAAGTAAGCCAGTAAGAAAAACACCAATACAGTATACTAACACATATATATGGAATTTAGAAAGATGGTAACGATAATCCTGTATGCGAGACAGCAAAAGAGACACAGATGTATTGAACAGTCTTTTGGACTCTGTGGGAGAGGGCGAGGGCGGGACGATATGGGAGAATGGCATTGAAACACTTAAATTATCATATGTGAAATGAATCGCCAGTCCAGGTTTGATGCCATGAGACAGGGTGCTCAGGGTTGGGGCACTGGGATGACCCAGAGGGATGGGATGGAGAGGGAAGTGGGAGGGGGGTTCAGGATGGGGAGCACATGTACACCCATAGAGGCTTCAAGTCAATGTATGGCAAAACCAATACAATATTGCAAAGTAAAATAAATAATTTTTAAAAATCTGAAAAAAAAGACTAAAATCTTTCAAAGAAAGAAAAGCAGATTACCTACAAAGGAACAAGAATTCTCATGAGAAACAGCAGTCTTCTCATCAGCATCAGTGGATACTTGAAGTCTAATAGAATAAAGCCGCCAAGTTCTGAAGGACAATAATTTTGAAACTAGCATTTCCGTATCAGTCAAGGCACTAATTAAAGTGTGAAGGCAAAGATTCAGCCTTTCAGAGGTGTAGAGATTCAGAAGCCTTGTGAAATGGTCCTCAACAGGGTATTTTTTTCTTTCTAACTTTTTATTTTGTATTGGAGTATAGTGATTAGCAAGCAATGTTGTAATAGTTTCAGGTGAAGAGTGAAGGGACTCCGCCATACATGTACATGTATCCATTCTCCCCCAAACTCCCCTCGAGTTCAGGCCACCACATGACATTAAGCAGACATCCCTGTGTGCTACAGTAGGTCCTTGTTAGTTATCCATTTTAAAAATAGCAGTGTGTACATGTCCATCCCAAACACTAGGATACTATTCTCAATTAAACATGGCAGGTCAAAAAATATATTTACCTCCTTTACCTCCAGATTCCCAATAAATTACAGTTACAGGATTTTTTTTTAAAAAGATAAAGAGTATA